CCTTGACCTGTCCCTGTCCCTGGGTGTGTAGGATGGGGGGGACGATGTAGAGGGAGCTTTACTCTCTGTCTAAACCTGTGGTCTAACACTGTGTTCAGCGAAAATCCCTCAGGAATTTATGAAGACAGTGTCCACGAGCAGACCATTCCTGTAAAGTATGCTGTCAACATTGTCGTATCTCGGTAAGTTCTGTCTTTTTCCTGTTTCTCTGTTTTTTATGGGACACTGAGGGGATTGAGGGACACGGGGAGAGTGCGGGAGACTGGGAGATGGATAGATTTTTGAGGGGGGAGACACTGAGGGACACGGGGAGAGTGCGGGAGACTGGGAGATGGATAGATTTTTGGTGGGGGAGACACTGAGGGACACGGGGAGAGCGCGGGAGACTGGGAGATGGATAGATTTTTGGTGGGGGAGACACTGAGGGACATGGGGAGAGTGCGGGAGACTGGGAGATGGATACATTTTGTGGGGGGAGCCACTGAGGGACATGGGGAGAGCGCGGGAGACTGGGAGATGGATACATTTTGTGGGGGGAGACACTGAGGGACATGGGGAGAGCGCGGGAGACTGGGAGATGCATACATTTTGGGGGGGGAGACACTGAGGGACACGGGGAGAGTGCGGGAGACTGGGAGATGGATAGATTTTTTGGTCGGGGTGACACTGAGGGACATGGGGAGAGCGCGGGAGACCGGGAGACGGATAGATATTTGGGGAAGTAGACACTGAGGGACACGGGGAGAGCGCGGGAGACTGGGAGATGGATAGAGTTTTGGTGGGAGACTCTGAGGGGATTGAGGGACACAGGAGAGTGTGGTAGACTGGAAGATGGATAACTCTTTGCGGGGAGGTGTTGAGGGACTTGGGGGCCGATGGTTAGATTCTCTCTCAATTGTAAGGCCCAGGGTGTTGACAGTGGGGAGCGTTCAGTGATGGTAACACCGTTGAATGCGAACGGGGTAATTGTTAGGTTCTCCCTTTGTTGGTGATGTTCCTAGCCTGGCATTTGTGTGGTGTTAATGTTGTTGTCCAGATCTTGCTGCTTTCGAACACAGAGTGCCTACAGTGTCTGAGGAGCTGTGAACGGCTTTGTGAATTGGCACTTCACATTCTCTATGTCCCTTTCCTTTTCTTTGTCGTTCTTCCCCTCAGAGTGTCGTCCACTCGTTACATCACCTTTATGGACAGGATGAACGAGGAGAGGAAGATCAAACACGTCTACAAGGTAGGAACCATCGTAGAACCATGTTTACTCTGTGCTTCCCTTTCTGGCAGAATACTATCCCGCAGATGAATGGCGTCGGCTCCACCCCTTCAATTTGGAGTCAACGGTAAAAGAACCGGGGGTTCAACGGATGTGAAAGTTATGTCGAGCGTTGGTTCTGGAAGGTTCACCTTGGGAATGACATGGGATGGCATTTTGAGAAGAGATGGGAGCAGATAGATTCAAAGACTTTCACAGCACAGAAACAGACTGTTCATGCTGAGCAGTGGCCCAAACTTAATCTAATCCCATTTCCCCGCGTTTGGCCCATATCCCTCTAAACCCTTCCTATCCATGTCCCCATCCAGATGCCTTTTAAATGTTGTAACTGTACCGGCCCCCCACCCACTTCCTCTGGCAGCTCGTTCCGTACACGCACCACCCTCTGTGTGAAAAAGTTACCCCCTTTTAAATCTCTCCCCCTCTCACCTCAAACCTATTCCCTGAAGTTTTGGAATCCCCTACCCTTGGGAAAAACTATTCATCCTATCTATGCCCCTCATGATTTTATTAACCCCTATAAGGTGACCCCCTTAGCCTCTGATGGTCCAGAGAAAATAGCCCCAGCCAATTCACCCTCTCCCTGTAGCTCAAACCCTCCAACCCCAGCAACATCCTTGTAAATCTTTTCTGAACCCTTTCAAGTTTCACAACATCCTTCCTACAGCAGGGAGACCAGAATTTCACATCGTATTCTAAAAGTGGCCTCACCAATACAGCAGCAATATGACCTTCCCAACGCCAAGACTCAATGCACTGACGAATAAAGTTGAGCGTATCAAACATCTTCTTCATCGCCCTGTCTACCTGTGACTCCACCTTCAAGGAACTACGCATCTGCACCCCAAGGTCTCTTCGTTCAAAAACACTCCCCAGGCCATTAACATTTAATGCATAAACCCTGCCCTGATTTGCCTTTCGAAAATGCAGCACTTCACATCTATCTAAATTTAATTCCATCCGACCACCCACCCCTCAGCCCTTCGGTCCATCTGGTCAAAGTGCCGTTTTAGTCTGTGGTAATCTTCTTCACTGTCCTCTCCATCTCCAATTTTGGTGTCATCTGCCAACATACTAACCATACCCCCTGTATCCCCATCCAAATTATATCTACAAATGATGAAAAGCAGTGGGCCCAGCACTGATCCCTGTGGCACATCGCTGGTCACAAGCTTCCAGATGACCCCGGAGAAGATTTCGCGGGAGAGGCTGAACGGATAATGTGAAAATCCTCCACGTTTTGAAGAGTTGGGGGCAGAAAATGAAGGGTTTTTGGTGGGGGCTGAGCAATGGCCCTCTTTAGAAGGGGAGCGGTTGCAGAGGGCGAGGGCTGGCATAGGAGTTGGTGGCGGGCGGTGGGCTGGGGAGAGACCGAACGAGCGTCCTGACCCAAGACTGACCCTCTGTCACAGGTGGAGAACATTGGGAGCAGGACTGTACCCATCAATGTGATGATCAACGCCTCAGAGAAAGTGGCAGGTCTCGTGAGGTGGACACCAGAGATCACTGTGACTGTTCAACAGGTATGTGACTCCCATCCCGGAGGGCAGGGCTCGGGGGAGTGATTGGACGGAGATGGAGGGTGAGGGAATTGGAGTCTGAAGGGGTAAGAGGTGCTTAGGAGCTCCGAGCGGGAAAGTAAATCCTCGGTAGGGCTCTAAACGATTAATTGGCACGACCACAGATCAGGTGGATCGATTTTTTTTCTCAGTCGCTCATGGGGGTCACCCAACTTCCCATCCTTAATTGCCCCCCCTCAGGAGAAGGTGGAGGTGAGCCACTCCAGTTCCCCTCTCCATCTCCGTGTGGGGTACGAGTACAGTGCCTTTAAGGAGGGAATTCCAAGAATTTTGACTCTGGAGGAAGGGTCGATATCATTCCAAGTCGGGATGTGGGGGGGAGGGGGTGTGGTTTCTCGGAGGGGAACTTGTTGGAGCTGGTGCTCCCCCCACCTCTGCTGCCCCTTTAGGGGGGTAAGAGGCGGCGCGTTCGGAAGGAGATGTGTCGCAATGCGGTACACACTGCTGTGGCTGTGGTGGGAAGGAGGGAGAGTTGAAGGCTGGGGGTCAGCATCTCGGTCGAGCGCAGTGGGGGCGAAGGGTTAGTTGCTTTGTCCTGGAATGTGTCGAGTACTGTCGAAGCTGGCATCATCCAGAGCAAGTGGTCTAACTTGTGCCTTGTCGATGGTGGGACAGGCTTTGGGGGGAAGAAGAGTCAGGAGGGGAGGTACTCCCTGCAGGATTCCCAGCCTCGGACCTGGTCTTGTAGCCACGGGATAGATATGGGGTTGGGTCTGCTCAGTTTCTGCTCAATGGTAAACCCCCAGGATGTTGATAGTGGGGAGGGGGGTGGGATTCAGTGATGGGAACACCATTGAACATAAAAGGGGGTGATGGTTAGATTATCTCTTCTTGGGATGACAGTAATGAGAATCGCATGGAGAAGTGCAAGACAGTTTTGCGTGGCTAGTAGAGGGTCGAACGGCCTCGTGTTGTCCTCCATGGATAAACTCCAGTGAAGAACTGGCTTGACGACAATTTGTGTTTCCCATCCTGCATAGGACCATGCCTCATGTGTTTTGGCCAACGAGGGACAAGAGCTAAGCGAAGGCCAACTGACCAAGGAGCGGAAGGAGGTGAGTGCGCTGTCTGTACAGAGTGCTCTGTCTGCAACCTCAGACTAAATCTCCTCCGCTTCCAAACAACCCTCCCCTTCATCACTCTCTCTGCTTTCAATATACTGAATGATCCAGCCTCGATAGCCCTCTGTGGTAAAGAACTCCACAAATTCACTCCCCTTGGAGAGAAGAAATTCCTCCTCATCTCCAACTTCAATGGGCGACATCTTCTTCTGAGATGGTTCCCTCTGGTCTTAGTCTTTCTCACAAGGGGGAACAACCTCTCAACATCTCCCCTGTCAAAACCCCCTGTGAATCTTCAATCAGGTCGCCTCTCATTCTTCTAAACGCTGCTGAGTACAGGTACACGACCTACTCAACCTCTCCTCGATAACACAGTCCCTCCATCCCCAGGATCAGCTGTCTCTGCGCTGTCTCTGATGCCTGTCTATCTCTGCTTGGATACGGGGCCCCAAAAACATTCGTGGTATCCCAGTAGTGACATGTATCGTTTGAGTCCTGCTTTTAGACTCCATTTTCTTTGAAATAAAGGCCAGTTTTCCATTTGCCTTCCCCATTCCACGCTGAACTTGAACGGTAGCCCTTTTGACTCATGGACCAGGATTCCCAAATTCCTCTGTCCTGTAGCTTTCTGCAGTCTTTCTTCATTTAAATAATATTGAGCTCCTCTATTCTTCACGACAAAGTGCAGAACCTCACATTTTCCCGCATTATATTCCACCTGCCACATGTTTACCCTGTCTATATCCCTCTGCAGCCTCCGTGTGCTGTCCTCGTCTCTTGCCTTCCCTCCTGTTTGTGTGTCCTCTTCAAACTGATGATAGTACATTCACTTTCCTCATCCATGTCATTAATTTTGATTGTAAATAATGGTGGCCCGATCCTGCCCAGTGGTTCCCCACGCTGTTCTCTTGTTCAACGAAAAATCATACATCAGTATAGACCTTCCGTGTTTGATCTATCTACCAAACTTCAGCCACACTGTGCTATTTATACCCAGTGAGGTGCAGCTCTGTGATTTCTTCGCAGTCCCAGTGAAGGGGTCTGAAGTCCTAACAAGTTGTAACCCTCTCTCCCTGAAGTGTTTCTGTTTCTCACACGCACTGATCTGTAGACACACACGTGCACACACACACATGCACGTGTGCGCACACACACACACACTCTTATACACACGCTATCACACATAGACACACACTGTCTCTCATGCACATTCACACATACACACACTCACAAAAACAGATGACACTTGCACACATATACACACTCTCACATGCACAATTCATACTCACACTCTCACACATAAATATCACACACGCTCAGGCACGCACACGTGTTCACACTGACACACACATACATGCACACACACACTCTCTCTCTCTCACACACACACACACACAGACATACACCCATACAAACACACATACATTCACATGCACATAATCATACTCACACTCACGCATACAAATACTCACACACACATGCAGAAAAATACACACAATTGCACTCAAACACACACACACGTACATACAAACACTCTCTCTCTCTCTCTCTCTCTCTCTCACACACACACACACACACACACACACACACACAGTTGGCTGTCATACATAGACAAGCTCACTCTCACCGTCTCTCTCACACACACATACAATCACACACACTCTCACGCACACACAGACAAACACAGACCACATATACACACATGCATATGCACACATAAACACTCACTCTCACGCACACCCTGAAACACATACTCACACACACAGATACACATTGTCACGCACACACTCTCACTCACACATACACAATTACTCAATCACGCACACAGACACATTCTCTTACACACACAAGCATATACTCACACAAACACACAGACACACACTCTCTCTCACACACAGACATATGCACTCGCTCTCTCTCTCCCACACACACACTCTCACATACACAGGCACAGACACGGTCTCTCTCACTCTCTCACACAGACACACGCGCTCTCCCTCCCTCTCTCTCTCTCACACACACACAGACAGACACACACACTGTCTCACACACACAGACACACACTCTCTCTCACACACATAAACACACACACATACACCTACACCTCTCGCTCACACTCTCTCTCTCTTTTACACACATGCACAGACGCACACACACTCTCTCTCTCACACACAGACACACTCACACACACTCTCTCTCACACACACAGACACACACACACACACTCTCTCTCATACACACACACACACACACACACACACACACACACTCTCACACACACATTCTGTGAAACATATCGATGTAATTCCTCTCCGTCCTGACGTATTGAGAGCCAGCTTGCCTGTCGTTTGTCCACAGGACCGGCCTGAACTTTCCAAAAGGAAGATCAGCTTTACAATGCTTGTCTTGGAGAAAAACTGCTTTGTGGAAATTATTTTGGATGGAGTTGTTCGTACCACACAAAACGTGAGACGAGTTTGTGAATAAGCAAGAGGCCCTGACCCACTTTTAATTTGCTCCTGGGATGTGGGTGTTGCGAGTTGGGCCCAGGGGAAATTCAGAGCCACAAAGAGAGCATGGAAGGCTGGGAGATGGATGGATTTTTGTGGGGGGAGGAGACACTGAGGCACACGGGGAGAGCGCGGGAGACTGGGAGTTGGATAGAATTTTTGGTGGGGAGGAGACACTGAG